AAATACAAAAATTTTTTTTATACCCCTATGCTTTTTAATTTACTTATTTTAGTTAGCTTCTTCGTTTTGAAAATTACTTACTATTTGAGGATTGCAATTTGTTAGCATCTCATTTTTTTAAGAAAAATTATGCCTAGTTTAAAAATGCTTTATTTTATGTGCATTGAGTTTTTGGGGCTATAAAAATGTGTTCAACTTCGTTAAAAATATTGCATATCTTAAAAATGCTTAATTTTATGCATGTGAAGTTTTTTAGTTCTATTTTAAACAGTATGAAATGTAATAGGGGCCCAAAACATTTCTGTGCCCGGGTGGCCTGCTTGCTATTAAGACGGCCCTGCCTATGACTGGAGCACCATGCTGGCAGAAGTCTGAGTTGGCTCCTTCGCCTGTTGACTTTAGCTGAGAGTAATGGAACGGCCTTCTCGCCATGGGTGACCCTTCCAGGAGTAAAACTCCAGACGTACATCGCCCATTTCACTCAGTATTACGAATCTAGATATACTATATGTAAATCAAAATTATAAGAAAGGTGAAGTAAGTCTCAAAGATTACGTATCACAATGTGTGATTTGTAAATTGAATTGCGGTTTATGTTTCTTAAATCGGAACAATATGAATAGCAAATGATACAAAACGCACGAACTAACAAGACGTAAATCACAATGTGTGATACATAAATCACTTTAGTATGAATTCTGTTGCGTGATTAGCTAATAGTTTTCATGCGAATTGTGATCATTATGATGCAAATTGCAATTTATGAATCAAAAGGTGCTTAATATAGAACAGCTATGAGTGATTCTTAAATCATTTTGATGAGTAGTGCAAGTGATAATTCTCAAATCTCTCTTTTGTGAATCGCAATGCGTGATTTGTAAACTACTAGAATGAAAACTGTTAGGCATGATTCTGAAATTACTTAAATACGTATCACGTTATATGATTCAGAAATAACTTTAATTGGAATCATGATGTGTGACTCCCGATGAAAAATTTGAGAATCACTTTAAAGTAATATTCAATATGTGATTCATAAATCACTTTCATTTAAATTGCAATTCATAGAACATTTTATATGAATTCCGATCCGTAAATCAAGAAACAGTTTAATGTGAATCACAATGTTTATTCATAATCAATGAAACCTGTAGAACTAAATTTTATTTATTTAACAGTAAAAACTGAATGTAAAAATTTTATTAAAAATAATAAAAAATTAATTACCCTTCATAAGTAAATTAAAAGAACAAATAGGATAACAATATTAACCTGTCGTAATAACGAAGTTAACACATTGAACATATTTCTAAATCAATTAAACACTAGATGTCATTCGAAAACTATGACTACAAAACCTAAAATTTGCTAGAAATTTCAGCTTTCAAAACATCAGAGGGATGAACAATAATCGGATGGGAAAAATCTAGGAGAGAAAAGTTTTACATCTTCTTTAACCCCTTTTCACTTCAAGCATTAAAAATTGTATCTATCAGAATTTCTATAATTTTCCTTTGAATTCATTTATTATTTTTTTACTGCTTTTAACAAAATTCAAGGACTTTAAAGTACCGTGGGAACCCTGTAATTTGCTTATGCAACATTATCATATAAAATGTTTGCATGCAGGGCCACAGGCCTTGTTGAATTTTGTTAGTTGTTGTTGTTCACTTACGTCGCACTAGAGCTGCACAATGGGCTATTGGCGACGGTCTGGGAAACATCCCTGAGGATGATCCGAAGACATGCCATCACAATTTTGATCCTCTGCAGAGGGGATGGCACCCCCGCTTCGGTAGCCCAACGACCTGCACGCGAAGTCGAGCATTTTACGGTAGAACAGTTTAACGAGAACCAATACCGCACACCCTCGGCCCCTACGCAGGCTGATCCAAGTGGTCACCCACCCGCACACTGACCGCAGCCAGTGATGCTTGACTTCGGTGATCTGCTGGGAACCGTATCTTAACGATCAGTCCACTGCGGGACAGAATTTTGTTAGAGAAAAGTTTTAACCTATTCAAGGTAGAAATTTAGCTAGAAAGATTTTCCACAGTTGTGTTGTTTGTTTTATACAAAAACCTATAGTTGCTAATCAAATAACGGGAAATCTGCCATCAGAGCCCCTGGTGCAGTATTAATAAAACAGGGATCGATTTCACGGGGCCATTTTTAATTAAATATAAAAATCAACGTAAAGGAATCTATCACAAAATTTACATCACGATATTTATTTGATGGCCACTAAGGCTGTCCACTTAGTAATGGTAGATGAGATGATTTAACTTCAGGTGCGCTAATAGCTTGTTTAAAAAGATTTTTTTCGCGCCATGAAAAGAGTAGTGCTTTGATTACTGACAACGCTACAAATATGGTGGGTGCCAAGTTAAAAAGGTTATAACTTAGTTGAAAAATCAAAAGATAAGTTAAATGACTATTGTTCATCGAAAGAAATAATATGGAAGTTTATTCCGCCTAGAGCAATTAATTTCGGGGGTATCTGGAATCCAGGCGTTAAATCCTTTAAATTTTATTTTAAAAGAGTAGTAGTAACTACCAAATTAACGTATGAGGAATAAATTCAATTTGAAACTGTTAGCAATCAAATTGAATCAATCTTGAACTTGCGACCACTAACTCCTTTATCATCTGACCCTAGTGATCTTAATAGTCTTACTCAGGCATATTTTCATATTATAAGTAGGTGGAAATTTTTAACTAAGTTTGTTCAAGCAGTTTGGAGGAACTAGAAACATGATTATTTAAATCACCTCCAACAGAGATACAAATGGAACTTTGAGAAAATTAAAATTGTCTCAGGCAGCATGGCTATATTTTAAAATTGTCTCAGGCAGCATGGCTATATTTTAAAATAAGACAGTACACCCGTGTGTAATTGGCCTTTATGTCATGTAATAAAAGTTATTAGAAGTTAAGATAATAATGTACGTGTAGCTATAATTAGCACTTCTACAGGGACATATAAATTATGCTTGATCCCAATGGAATCATTTTGATTTGTTAACTGTGTGAGTTTGATACTTAAAAAAAAACTTGTTATATTGTTACTTACACTTGTATATTGTGAACTCGTATTGAATAATAATAACAATGTTTTATTCTTAAAACCATCAAATTGCTTGAAATTCTAACATTTTTTTTAATGATCAATTAAATAGCATAATTATTCAATGCGTGGGAAAATGCTAAATGTCATGAATCTAAATTTGTTGTTGCCGCCATGTAAAAGATAGTTCGCCAATTTGACGACTGTTTCTTAATGTTTTTTTATTATTTACTTGTTCGTTCTATGATGAGGATGCTCTATGGTGAGCGTCCTATAATAAAACTATGGATATCAATTAAAATATATCCTTCTTTGTTGAGGACATTCTATAGTGAACCTCCTGTAATAAAATATCTGTTAAATTTACAGTCCACTCTTTATTCGCCGTAAACACCATGAAAAGAGTATATCTGATTCTGTTACATTATCAGTCCACATTTTTCTTTGTATGACAAGGAGAAACACTTTTCAAGCTAATTATTTTCAGTATAAATCATTTAGTAACTAAAGTAGTTAAACATATAGTTATTAATATAAGGGTCACCTAAATGAAAGTGGTACTACAGTCGCTTTGATAAATGGTTCAATATTATTTAGTACAAAAAATAAAAAATACAGACGTAACAGATAGAGACAGAGTCACCTTATAGGTTGATACAAGTGTCTCAGCAGTTCACAAGATAATTGATCATGGAATAAGAAGTTCCGGGTTGGTTGTGGAACCAATTCTCAAAGGCAGCTTTGACCTCACTATCCTCGGCAAATCACTGTCCCTTTAGAGTTTTCTTGAGTGGACCGAAGATGTGATAGTCACACGGCGAGGGGTCCGGACTATAAGGGGCGTTTGAGAATCTCCCAGCGGGATTACCGCGACAATGTTTGGCATGCCATAGTCACATGAGGACGAGCATTATCATGCAAGTGGATAACCCCATGTGACAAGCATGCCATGTTGGTGGTACTTGATATTCTTTGATCAGTTCATGCAATGCAGCAAAGTATGTGGCAGTAGTGACAGTCATGCCAGTAGGTAGCCCTTCCAACCAATAAACAATCGACGCTAGAGAATCAGGTCATCAACGTCAAAGAAGCATGTTAACTTTACATTCCATGCTCATGCTTTTGGTGGCTGGATGAGAGTGATAGCACCGTGTTTCCTCAGAGGTAACGATCCTTGAAAGGAATTGGTTCCCCACTTTGTGGTACCACATTAGATGTTCAAGGAAACAGACATGAGATGAATCTAATCTGCTCCTCTGTGAAATGTTTTGGCACAAAGTATGCCCAAACCTTTCGGTATTGCAAACTCTTATGCAGTATTTTGTGAACACTTCTTTTGATCATAGATAATTCCTCCACTATTTCTCGAATAGTGATTTGCTGATTATTTCTCACAACACATATAATCTGTACCATACACAATTTGCACTTGACGAACAATTTCTACAACTGTTTTCTAGGTGATAACCACAAGTGCTTAACCAGATCGTGACTAGTCGTCATTACCGTCCCTTCACTAACGGAATACGGATCTACGAGACATATACTCTGTGCCATACACAATTTGCATTCGATGAACAATTTCTTTAGCACTAACATTTTTGGCTGTCAAAAATTGCACTATAATGTACTTGACACCGTTTGGAGACATCCATGACGTGAACAATGCCTTTTAATATGTCCCCACAAGCACCTGGTCGGATCTGACAATATCGTATGCATTCCCAGCACTGTGCGTCCTTTATAGGGACTTGTGCAGTCATCTTTCTCTTCAAATGGTGGAGTTATTACAATGCCACTTTTATTTGAATGAACCTTATACAAAATAATAAGTCTTAATGAATTCAAGCGAATGAACAGAGTATTTATGAGCTATTAAATATCCCATGCATTTAAAATCACTGAAACAAGTCCAAGAAATTATCAAACAAGATAAAAATACTGATTTTATTTAAATTATACAAATGAGTAACTTACTAAAGTATCTATGCAATTATAAATATTTTCAATATATTGAATTAAAATATCTTCTTAGATAATATTAAATGTACAGGTAGTTTTATTTTATAGATAAGGATTGAAAAGATGCAGGAAGAGTTAATTCCGGTAGTTTGCATTCATCATCTAACGTAGCAAATACATGAGCAAAGTCCGCAAAATCTTCAATTCTGTTTAAGAACAATTCTTTTATAGTGAGTCCAGAAAGACCCTAAAAACAGAAATAAAATTTTTGTGTTCAAAAGGTGAGAGACATTATCATGACTAAATAGATAAATCTAAAATGTTTTGTGGGGCTTCTCTAATACTTAGATTTAGAATTATTCACTACATATGTTTTATGGATTAAAGTAATTTCAAAAAGATACAACACACTACAAAAAACATTGAATGAAATTTTAATTATCAGAAACACTATGTAAGCTGTATTATATCTAACATACTGCAATTAAATACAAATTATACAATGTAAAATACAAAATTAGTTATTGAGAGAAGAAATAAAAATTTTTTATGATAACTATCCCTTGCACTTTCATACCTAGTTGTATACAAAATATAAATTATAGCTAAAACAAAGGTATGTATTTCACACTAATACGCATTTGTTAATGTTCAACCTATAAGATAGAAGACTGATAGAAATAATATATGAATGTAGTTCAATGCAAAGAAGTTATTGGAGGGAAAGAACGGAATATAAGAAAACTATGGTTATTATGTTGAAAAACATGTACAGAGAACAGAAAAGAAACACCCTGAATAACTTTTGATCAAATGATCAGATTATCATGTACTAGTACTCAATCATGATATTACAAGGGTCTAACCATAAATATGCTAATTAATGAGTACAGACGATATTATAAGTAGTAATGAAATCATATGCAAAAATGTACTTTCTATGAACAAACATAGATTTGGATTTCTGACTCTCAAAATGTGTTCCCAATAGTTTCTCAAAGAGAGCGATTGAAAATTTGGACACTTTAATGTTAATTTCACTTTTTTCGTAATATGCCATAACTTAAGAACTTTTTAAGCAAATCGAAAATTTTTTGTACAGAATGATAAAATTCATTTTCAAAAGATAATTCCAAAAAAAAAAAATTTTTTTTTAATAAATATTTATTATTTTATTTAATTATAGTATAATATACAAATGTTTATGTCCTTTTAAAGAATATAATTTTAAATGGCAAAATTTGAGAATAATAGAATGAATAGTTTCTGAATTATTAAATTCTAAAAAAGTCATATAATTGTATGGAGACAATGTGCCTAGCTGAGAAATTTTCCCAAGTAACACATCAGTTAAAGGGTGAAACTTTACATTAAAAATGAAAATATTTATAGAAAATAATATACATATCATAGAAAAAAAGTTTTTCCTACATTCACACACACACATTTAAAAATAATTATTAGTCTTCTCAGTGGCATATGCAGAATTTTTTCAAGGGGGGTGTTCATAATTTTCTGAAACTACTAAAAGAAATTCGAGTATGTAATAAAGCACTATTATTTCCCTAATTTAGACAGTTAGACAATTTTGACTTTTAATTTAGACAACATTGTTTAGTTAAATTTTGATTTGATTTTTTAAGTTTAAGAACATAATTTTTTTTTATAATAAGAGGTAAAATATTTAATTTTTTATTAAAAAGTAGGAATTAATCAAGCCAGAAAAAAGTACTCATAATGTAACAGCTACCTAAATAATAACCGTATAAATGTGAATATTCTATAGAAAACCAATGAATTTGACCAAAAAATAAGAAAAGATAACTTACCAACAAATAAGGAATTAAACCAGTTTACAAACATTTATTGATTTATACAGTAATATCCAAATGACGTTTTTTTTTTTTTTTTTTTTTTGCAAGTTCGTTTAAAATGTCTTCTACAGCTGGGGTAAATTTTCTATGAATTTTTAAGAGCGCCAATCTATTAATTCTATTATTACCCGTTTTATTGTGTAAATGTCTTTCAACGACGTAAAGTTGAAAAGGATCTTTCGTTTGCACTCGTTGAAACAGGTAGAACGACCAATATTTCTAGGAGTTTGAAAATGTTTGGTGTTATATCTTTATCGCACATTCCAAGAGCATCCGCCGCAGTTTTTGGAACACTACCTCCGTCTTCACTAATCCTTTTTAAACTTTTGTACCAGAGTTTTAGTTCAGACTTAAGGCTTTCTTTACAGGTATCCAAATCTTGAGCGCAAAATTCCACTAGTGCTTCAAAAGCCTTTATATTTGAAGGTTGGCAAATGAAAGGATCGGCAGGAAGAAGGCACTGAAATCCTTTCAAATTATTACGATGCGATACAAATCTTAAGTCATTGTGTTATAAAATTTTCTATAAATCGAATAAATGCACTAACTCTGAAATATGTTTCGGGTGTTGATTAGGGAAAATTAGCGTGATTTTTCTACAGACAGAGATAACTCTCAGTCTCATTAGCTAACTCCTTTGTACTCCGTTCCCCCTTTTATATAATTTTCACCGCATCTCCAAAATTCTCGAATTGATTCAAGATGGCAGAATGTTTAGGATTCCAGAATCATCGCGTAAAGACCTCGCAAATGCTAGCCAGTCTCGAAAACTATCGGACTGAAAAGAACCAGCAATCGGGACTCGCCCATAACAGTATCACGTGAATTTGATTTCAAAAAACCTATTATAGTAAATGTTTTTTTCAGTATTCTGAGAAATACCGTGAGAAAAAAAGTAGGCATGAGGCAAATAAATTTATATAGTCTTAAAAAATAATAACCTGCATAATTTCTACTAAAATTTTTATTTTTGCCATTTTGTCTGATCAAGGAGGGAGTTGAAATCACTAAACACCCCCCTTGCGTACGCCCCTGTCTTCTCAGTATTATTCCATTAAAATAATGTATACTATTTTCCACCTAATAAATTATGCATAAAAAAGTTATTGCAAACCTGCAATCCTGGTCGCACTGCAATAGCTTCAAGTGAGACATACACACATGATCCTTTTTCTAAATTTGTAATTTTTTGACCTGAAATTCCATGCCATAGAATACCATTGGTGAAGGAGTTGTTTAGTGTCAAAAGTAAATCTAAAGCTCTATCACTAGAAAACATTCAAAGAGTAACTATTTATGAAAGTTATAATAAATAATCAGAATTAAAATTAAACTGTCAGCAGACTAGTAGAAACTTGTTTTAATGGTATAAACATGATTTGAGACAGTATAAGAACATACAATAAAACCTAGATAATCATCTTTTATACAAAACCATTCTCTGTGTTAACCAGTATATTTTTTGCTATTTACTAAATATTCCAAAACTTCTATGTAGGCAATATTCATTTTGTCAGTTGCTCAGTATGAATTTTGTACAAAATAGTTTCGGGCATTTAGCAAGCGCTAAAACTTTATAGTATGATAGTAAATGCCAGAAACAGATGCAGAATGTGATTTTCACAATAATTTACACATAGAAAATTTTGATTTGTGCAGTATGAGTGCACAAATGATTCAAATGAGGGATCAAGTTATCTTTTAAGTATAAACCACAGTACAGCATTCTATACATAGGCAGACATGTGATTGCTGGAAGAAGAAATTATCTAAAATGTTTTTTCAATCCGTTTTTTTTTTCTTCTTTCTTTTAGTACATAGCAGATAAATAAAAGACTCAAAGCAACATTTATAAAATGTGAAGAAAGGTATTTTACTTCATCAAATAAACTTATTTTCATCAACGGTTAATTAAATGTTTCGAGATTCACATGCTGTATTGAATAATATCTTATCAAAAATATCAAGATTTTAAAAAATATGCGAAAATTAACAGTGACAGCTGCCGAAAAACCTTTTAAAAAAAATGTTAGAATTATCACGTCAAATACTGAATAATCAGAAATTTAAAAAAATCATGTGAAAATCAGCAGCAAAAATTGCAAATTTTTTATTTTTATTTTTATTAAATGCGACATTGATTTAACACAAATCCACCTTGTCAAAAATAATTACTCAACTGCGAGATTTGAATTTCTTGTTTCCTATCTTGTGAATTATCGCATCAAATAGTGAATACTCAGGCAAGCGGTTTTAATTTCTTGTATCACAGGGTTGCCACAGTAAAAAATTAACAAAAATAGTTGCTTTTAGTATCCTCAAGCATGAAAATAGTTGCCTAAAACTATAAAAATAGTTGCCTGAACAGGAGCAAAAATTTATCAAAAATAGTAGCCAAATAATTAAAATTGTAGCTTAATTGTCAAATACTATGATAAGGATTGGTTGATGTCAGAAGTTTTAAATTGTGATACATCGTCCGTCAGACATCGCGATTTAGCATATGTTCAGAAATTACCTATGGGAAATCAATCAAAAATAAATAAAAAGGAATAAATCTATTACAAAAGAAAATATTAATTCTAAACATATACTACTATAATATCAATATCATTGCTTAATTTTTTCAATTAAAATAATAAAGAAGTCAAAGTAAAAGCAAACCCAAGATTTATTTCATTTCTCTTAAATTAAAAAGGATTTAAGATTTACTATTGGTTTAAAAATAATTATACTGTAACAAAATATTTTACATACGTGCATTAAACTTAAAAGAAAAAAAAACGAAAGTAGAAAACAAACCAAAGAAATGTTCACTTTAGAAAAAAAATTATTTTTTTTAAATTATTTGTTGGAAAAAAACCACGCTTTTGAAACATCATTAGACCCTCTTTTATTCAATTATTTAAAATAATATAAAGTAGTATTAACTAATGGTCAAATTCTATCCTGAATAAATGTAAAAATATTTTTACTTATTTATCATTATTTCCGTTTTTGAAAATAAAATTGACTAAAGACTTATTTCTTTAAAAATGACACTGACTATCTAACAAATTATAAAACAAACAAGTATTGAAAGAATTTTAATAAAATTAAAAAAAAACTTTAAGTACTACCGTAATTTCGCGGAGATAGGCCGCAGCGTTAGTGATTTAAAACTTGAAAATTTAGTAGGAAGGCGTATCTAACGGGGCGGCCTATATAGTATTACTTTTTTTTTTTTTCAAAAAATTTTGCTTTTTAGAAACTACACTGGAAATTTCATCTTCATTTTTTCCACCTGTTATTGTACTTTTTATTTATTTTTTCATGCTTAATGTCACTCCAAGGAATAGTCAGCGCACCTGGAATTTTCCCCTCCCTAATCCTTTCTTGGAATCATTTTCTGGAGACCACTATCCACAAGAGAACAAAGTCTCTCTTTCCCTTCTGCCATATGGACAGCTGTTGAGTGTAGGAAATGGGCGTGGAGTGGAGAAGCATAAATCAGAAAGGAATGAATGAAGAAAATCAGGGTGGGGCCAGTGATAAGGTAACTGTAAAACAAATGCTCCCCCACCCCCTTCTTTCCAGGAAATATGACTCTTCCACTTGTCATGGATGCCTCTCTCCACTCCCCTTTTTTCTTCAGCTGGTTGTTAAAAACATGTGAATGTTTGGTAAATAAAGCATGCTGATGAGCTTGGAATGACCTTCAATAATCTTACAATTAGAATGTTCAAAAAGAATTTTAGACAGGGATAAAAGAAAGACCCGTCCAAGGCTGAGTCAATTGAAAAAAGAAACCTGATTTGAGAAGCGAAAATAGGGGGAGGAATTGCTAGAAACTTGTTTTAAATGCTTGGGAGGGAGCTTTTTATTGTTTTTTTTTTCATTGCTCATATTTCTGTTTGATTTCCATTATCTTCCTCAGCTTATTATTATTACGTTTTTTTATTGTTTTATCTTCAGTTCTCATGCGTGTTTTTGTTTTATTCATATTTTTCTTTCGTCAATATTTTTGTTTCGTTAATACTATTTTCGTTTTGTTTTAACATAACTTGTATTTAAGTTATCCATTTTAAATGCCTCCCATTAAGAGGAAAAATTATACCACTGCCTTTAAGCTGTCAGCAATTAAAAGAGAAAAAGAAACTGTGATAAATGGCTTCAAAAAAGCGGAAATCATCCCGGGACAAACGAAACCGAAAGTGACGGAGATTAACCCGAAATAAACAAGAGAAATTGTAATTGTATTAGGAATTGTATTAGGTAATTAAGTTGAAATATCAAACAAATTTCTGTATATGCTAATTACAAACGCTTTTTTTGTTACAAAAGTGTTTTTTTTTTACACGAATGTATTTTAACAAGTATAAAAGGAATGTCATCAATGTTTGACGGAATTAATTAAACAGCTTTCTTGTTCATCCTATGAATAGGGAATACTTCATGTGGTTATATGGAGTGAAGTAATGTTTCGTCAGTTTAGGCACTTTTGTCAGTAAACTTGACATGAAAATCCTATATGGCAAGAATTTATTTTACATTTCAGTTAAAAGAAAAAATTTAAAATTCATATATACTTACATTTAGCTCGATTTTAGCAATTCAAATTGCCACAAATGAACATAGTCGTCGATTAAATCTTTTTTGTTTTGTTTTGAAAATAAAATTACATAATGTGATATGAAAAAAAATAATATTTTTGTTTTGAAATTTATAGGGTTTATCCAAAGAAAAATGATTAAACCAAAGAAATTAATATATGTTCTATAATTATTCAAAGTTTGCTTAGCGGTTGCACTATGAGAAACCCGTGCGGCTATGAAAAAAGAATTATTAAAGTGTAGCAGTTCTTAGGAATTCCCACGAAGAAAAAAACGCTATGTGTTTCAGTTTTAATTATAATTTGAGAAAATTATAAATTCTTATTGATTAAATAATTGTAACCAGTTTAACATCAATTTAGAATTTATTAATTTAATTTTTTTATAAAAAAGGGCCGTGAAGCATTTCGTTATATTACAGGATACATCGATTTGTTGATTTAAACCAGTGTCTTTCAATAAAGTTTGCATTAGAAGATAAAATTTGGTGTTTGGCGCTGTCGCCAAAAGCCATGCCTGCAATTTTTAAAGTTAAGAACAGCAACCTTAGGAGAAGACTTTTCAACAATGCATGGAGAGGAAACTAATTGATGTTAACTGTCAATCCTATTTTCTCCCCCCACCCCAATGAACCCCAACAACCGCGAAGCTACCTTCCCCACCCAATACAACTGGAGAGTCACGAAACAACACCTAGCCGGAGTTTGCATGTAGATGTTTTTTCGTGACGCTTTGGAAATAAGGGGTTAAATAAAGGTAAGCTTTATTTCAATTTTTTCATAAATAAAAACAACTGAACATTTATTGGTTTAAAAATAATCAAATTATTATACTTACCTACATTAAATAAATTTGAAAAAAACTAACTTTTTATAACAAAATTAAATACAAAATACCCCTATTAAATTGTATTGCTTAAAATGAAAAATAATAATTGAAAAAAAACCAATGAAGAAACTTTTTTAATTTATATTTTCTTTTCATTGATCTATTGAGTTCAGAACGAAAGTTTAAGATAACAGCGATTATGCAGCAATCGCAAAGTAACAGTAGGTCTACGAAAAATAAGAATAAGTATAAAAAGAACTTCGCTAAGAGTAAAAAAGTCTCCCAATAGTCGCCTATTCCTGAAAATAGTTGCTTTTTTAGCCTTTTCAGGCAAAAAAAGTCGACATAAATAGTAGACAAAAATAGTAGCAAACAGTCGCGTTTTAGTAGCCTGTGGCAACCCTGGTATCATAATAATACAGGAATTTTAAAAAATCATACGAAAATCAACAGCAACAAATGCAAAAAAAAGTTTTTTTTAAATATTAAACGATGCATGGATTCAGCACAAATTCAGCATGTCAAGAAATAACTACTCAAATGGGAGATTCGAATTTCTCATTAAAGTATGAAAATATCAGGATTTAAAAAAAACCATGTAAATATGAATAGCTGTGAAAACAGTGCTATTATTGCATCAGAATGTGACTGACAAATGACAAATTGACTTTTGGGTGTTGCAATAATAATGTATAAAAATAAAAGGATTAAAAAAAAAACACTTAAAAAATTTGAAGTTATAATAGCCTATATAACAATTGATGCACCGCATGGATTTACAATGGTATTGAAGCAAATCGAGTGCATCAAATAGTGATTAATCAAAGGAGCGAATAAAATTTTGAGTT